TTACTTCGAAATTCACGCTCACCTGTGGTATATTGTCTCGTATTAATATTGACCCAAACCCGTCCAACCATATAATCTAAAATGAAATTAAACATCATTTTGTTATTTTCTTAATAACACTTTTATTTAAATATCATATAATTCGAGTTAATTTGAAAGTTGCTTTCAAATAGTTTCCATGTATATTTTTAAATTAGTGTGTGTTTTTGGACCAACCCGTAAAAACAATTTATAATTGTATATTAAAATACTAATTAGGATTTCACCCGTGATATACTGTCCCATTTTAGATAATTGTAAAAATTAAAGAAAGATCCGAATGACTCAATTTCGGGTCTGAATAAAATAACGACATGATTAAATGCTCAATTTGTTCTTAAAAATGTTAATATAGATTACACACATATTTTTATTCATCGATTGAGTAATATATGTCCGTTTTAAAAAATTTGAATTGTAACATATGCAGAAAAAAAAAAAACTAAAATTTACTAACTATTTATATATTTTATAATAATTTAAAATAATATAAATATAAGATCAAATAAAAGTGAAATAAGAATCATATATTTATGTTTAAATTAGGTAAAGAGGTTTTAGGAAATTAGTGCAAATTTGTTATATTAGCATTAAATCATCATATTTGATTTCTTTATCTATAAAAATCGTGAAGAATATACCATAAATAAAGCGTTTAAATATAGTAATTAGTTGAGAAAGTATATATATTTTAGATTTTATTAATTATTTTCGTTTTTTAATTTTGCCAAAATTTAAGGAAAGATCCGATTGAAGATTTCCGGGTCAAAATTAAATAAATTTGACCCGATTTTGGTACCCCAAAAACTGCTGCAAAAATGTATAGTAGATAGACTAGTACAATTTTGAAATTGCTAATTAAATTTGCGATCATCTTTTTTTTCAAAAATACAACCGTTGCCAAATTTTAAACAAGTAAAAGGTCTTATAAAATTAAATAATAAACAAACATGTCCAAAAAGAAAAAAAACCATAACTATGAAATATGAATCTTTTAGCCTTTTAGGGGACAAACCAGCTTTTCGAATATCATAATTGTCTGGCTTATTCAAGCTTACGAATAAACTCAAGTCGAATAAATTCTTGTACACAAATTAGGCACCCTTTTTCCATCGCGAAGATACCACAGTCACATTCACATCTATATGACATCAATATATAAAATCCAAATTAAACTATATATTATATTTCCATTACCTAATATATAATTCTGGTTCTAATATGCTTTTGATCAGAAAAAATTATTTTAGATTTGAAGAGTTTGGTCGGCTATAATTTGTTATAAACATATTTTCTATACATATGTACATACACATGTAATCAAGTGAGTAATAGAGTAATAGAATAAACACTATTATGTTACGTGTATATACATATGTATAGCATACACGTGTAGTCATGTGATTAATAGAGTAATATTTTACTCTATTATTTTACTTTATTACTCACATGACTACACGTGTATGCTATACATATGTACATACACATAAAATAATAGTTCCGAATGGAGAAAGTGTATCAAGCGGATCAAGCGTATCAAGCAGAACAAAAGTGGATCAAGCAGATCTAGCGGTACAAGTGCGGATTATATTATATAATATTTAATTATGATTTTATTTATAAATATAGTAAACATATTTATTGTGATAACTATAAAAATCTATTAAAAAAATTAATTCAAATACAATAGCAAAAAAGATTAGTATCTAGTATTTTGATTTTTCCATAACATATCTGCAATATTTTCCCTGATATTTGTCATAAGATCGCCATCAACTATTTCTGCAGCTTCCATATCACCTAGATCAATCTTAGAATTTGTGTATGTAATCTCTGTCTCTCCCATTACTTCTGCAAAATCGTCATCTGAAAAATTTGAAATTCTGATAAAATTATGTAGTCCCATTGTAGCCATTACTACTCTCTTTTGCACATGAGTATTATATCTAGGAAATTCACAAAGAATTCTCCATTTTTTCTTCCAAACTCCAAATGTCCTCTCAATAACAGAACGTAAAGATGCATGACATCGATTAAACAGTTCCTGCTTATTCCTAGGAGGAGGACCATTTTCAAATTGTGCCATATGATACCGAATAACCCTGTTTCGTGAAGATCTATATGGAGCAAGAAAACCTTGTTTGTTTGGATAGCCAGAATCAACTACATAATATTTTTCTGTTGGAGGCAAAGGAAATTCAGAATCACTTTCTTGTGCGATTGTGAGAACTGTTGTATCATGACAAGATCCTAGTGCTCCATTCCAAACATATGTGAACAACATATTCAAATCACATATTGCCATGATGTTGAATGATGTTCTACCATGTCGATCCCAATACATTCCTTGTAATTCAGGTTTCACCTTAACACAGACATGAACTCCATCCATGACGTGTTTCATCGTCAATGTTAACGCGATACACCTCTTCGTTTTCTTGTGTCTCTGGAACTTGACTTTCTGGAATTTCATCGCCATATGTTTCTGAGTATGTTTGACCTTGGTTATTAGTTATGCCTTCGTTCATAATCTCTTCTCTTCGCTGGTTTACGGAGTATTGAGATTGGGATTTAACATTGTACAATCTGAAACAACGTTGCATCACATCCCAAAGTTGTGGCGGTTGTCGTTGAAATGCATGTACAATCTTACATACCTGTGATTAAATTTTTTAGAAAAATTAAATAAATTTTTTGAACGTAAAATTTAGTAATCATATTTATGTAATAAGAAATATCATAAAATACTTACTTCTTGATCTTTCCACCATGAATTACTTGCTGTTATCTGATGTGTGACAGGATCAACCGTGATGCATGTGTTATCCATGAGCTGTACATACTTTTTGTACTTCTTTTTTAACTGATCAAGCTTTTCTTTAAAGAACCGATAGTTTATATTGAGATTGAACTTCTCGTTAAAATTGTCAACCAAAAACTCTTTACCAAGGGGTGTAGGATCTTTTAAACGGTAATTATTCATGGCAATTGCTTTATCGTATAACTCAAGAAATATTATTTCTCGGATAGGGTTCCATTTGAAATTGTCTCCGCTCTACAAATTTAAGAAAATTTCAAATATATTTTCAAACGAAACTTTAACTACGCTAAAATTTCGAAAAACAAATAAGAATATTTACCCGCGTTGATGTTTCTGTAGGAAAATTTGTATCAGCTTCTCCGGTGTTATTTGTGTTTTGTTGGCGATTAGAAGTCATATCTACAATATTGAAAATATGTCATTAAGTAGTTAAAATATGTATGAAACCAAAGCAATTATGTGTTGTTAATATTAAATTTTAATTATATCTATATTTTGATTTTAAATAATATATAATTTAAATTTTTTATAATTATGATTTACACTTAAATACAAATAATAACATGTATTTTTGTGTTTATATAATAGGGGCAATTATAATTACTTTCATGCATAATTATAATATAAATTACACCATATAACAGTTTGTTTTCTTTGAAAAAAAGTAATTGTGTATAAATATTTTTGATATTATTTAGCTATTAATAAAATATCAAACATTAATAATTATTTTGTTATATCAATAAAAGTAAAATTTTACTATATTTCTACTTTATATAAAACTAACCAAAACTAATTTTAAATTTTATGTAACATACATAAAATTATTTTATTTATTTCATAGAAATTTTACATTACAAAACAAAATCCTAATAGCTCACAAATTGTACTTATAATAAAGTGGATAATCTGGCACGAAAAGTTTGTACATAACCGCTTCATATCACATATGTAAACAACATTCCCCAGGAATGGCTCTTTTGAGCTCTAAGTAGTTTCGGATGACAAAAAATAAATAAATATGTTTAAATTTCAATAATTTTATACAATATTTTGAAATTATAAATAAATTAATCAAAAAAATTATTCTATTTTTAATGAATTTATCTGTATAAAATTTTAATAAAACATTTTTAATATATATATATATATATATTATAATTAAAATGGAAACATACCTTTTGAATCCAAAAATGAATAATGACTTTTGTTTTTGTTTGTGTAACAGATCGTATTTTGTGTAAAAAAGAGTATAAGGGAGATAGGATTTTTAGTGTGTATGAAAGTGTGTCTTCACAATCTATTTTATAGGCAAACATTCATATTTTAAAATAAATATAATATTGATCTTGAATAGTGTGTTATTTGTTACGGATGGATGATTCACCTCTTTTTTCTAGTTTTTGTGGTTCATCCACTTATTACACTAAAAGACAAAAAAGCATGCCATTTAAGTTTCGCCCATTTTGGTCTGAATCCTAATACTCCCTCCGTTTCAAAATATAGGGCGTTTTGGAGAAATTTTTTTGTTTCATAATATAAGTCGTTTTCAAGTTTCTATGCAAATTATATACTACTTTAATATTTTATGATTATTTTTATTATGCAATCTCTTTTATGATTGACTGAACTTTTAAAAAATAGATCTTCTTAATCGACGTGCTTTTGCTAAAATGGCTTATATTTTGAAACGAAAGGAGTAATAATTACTTGAATGGATCATATAGAGAAGCATGCCACCCACTTTATATCCGTTTATTTTCCATGACCCATTCAAACCCAATAGTGTTTACTCTATTACTCTATTACTCACATGACTACACGGTACATACACGTAAAATAATAGTGTTTACTCAATTACTTTATGACTCACATGACTACAAGTGTATGTACATATGTATAGCCCGCAAAACCCGTACATATTTGAGTCCGGCCCGGCCCGGCCCGTAAAAATTCCGAGCCTATATTTTAAAGCCCGGCCCGGCCCTAACAGGGTTACAGGGCTTTTCCGGGCTTTTTTGGGCTTTTCTTCCGACAACAAAAAACAAACTTATAATTTATAATATCTCTTAAAAAAAAATCTATATATGAAACGAGTCAATCAAAATTTAAATAACCACTGAAGCTAATTTAGTTTTTTTAAAAAAGAGTTAAAATCAAATAAATAATCCAAATAAATTTTTTAAACTTATACTAGATAAAATATAAAATCAAAATAAATCAAATTAGGTAGTAGAGCTAATATTTGCTTTTTCGATTTATAGTAATACATAATGAAAAAACTATGTTTAGGTTTTCAACTCTATCAAAATTTTTTTTTTACAACAAATCTTACAATTAAACGAAAATATTAACAAAAAAATGATCAAAATATTTTTTAAAGGGCTTTTCGGGCTAGTCCGAGCCCGGCCGGGCTAAGCCCAAAGAACCCTTTAGCCCGAACGGGCTTAGCCCGAAAGGCCCGATTTTTTCTGGACATATATTTTAAAGTTCGAGTCCATTGTTTTTCAGGGCTGGGCCGGGCTAGCCCGCGGGCTTTGGTCCTAATTGACATGTCTACATATAGTTAAAACGACAACTATTCAAAAACGGAGGGAGTAGTGTTTACTCTATTAATCTATTACTCACATGACTACACACGGTACATACACGAATAGTGTTTACTCAATTACTTAATTATTCACATGACTACAAGTGTATGTACATATGTGTAGCTGTATACTTATTTATTCACTTTCAGCTTTTTTTTTTTTTTTTTTGAATTCAACTGAAGGAGCATTCTATCTTCTTCCTCTCTGTTGTTGTTTTCTCAGGTGATCAAAGAAAATGGCGACTGTAATCGACGCGACGATGACTTATCGATTTCTGGAGGAAGAGACCGGTTCGTCTTCTTCTTCCAAAGTAGAATCTAGCCCTGTCGACGCCGTTCTCTTCGTCGGAATGTCTCTGGTGCTCGGTATTGCTTCTAGGCATTTGCTTCGTGGAACTAGGGTTCCTTACACCGTCGCTCTTCTCGTTATCGGAATTGCTCTTGGATCTCTCGGTTCGATTTCGTTTGATTCCATGGAATTTGGGAGATTGTTAATCTTGCTTAATTGCTAAAACTGTTGTTTGATGTTTCAGAATATGGAGCTAAACATAACCTTGGAAAGATCGGCCATGGAATTCGTATCTGTAAGTTCTTAGTTTCAGTTTTTTCTTCTCTTCCATGGGTAAGCTTGTTGGCTTAATGTTGCCAATGTTATTGTGTAGGTAATGATATCGATCCTGAACTTCTTTTGGCTGTTTTTCTTCCGGCTCTTCTTTTCGAAAGTTCGTTTTCAATGGAAGTTCACCAGATCAAGGTTTGTTTTTCTCTATACGAGCTCCTCTGGCTCTTACTCCTAGTTAAGCCTAAGGTTTAGAGAAATAGGTACTGAATCTTTTGGTTCTTGTGATGAAATTGTTTGCATGATCCTTTAGAGGTGTCTGGGACAAATGGTGTTACTTGCTGGCCCTGGAGTTCTTATTTCAACAGCTTGTCTCGGATGGCTTGTGAAGGTATGCATTAGCTTGGTTGGTATTAAGTAGCTGTCCTGAAACTAACAAAGAAAAATCGATCATAACCGTTATGAAACTATACTTGCTATTTGCAGGTCACGTTTCCGTATGACTGGGACTGGAAAACGTCGTTGTTGCTTGGGGGACTTCTAAGTGCTACCGACCCTGTTGCTGTTGTTGCTTTGTTAAAGGAGCTTGGTGCTAGTAAGAAGCTAAGCACCATAATTGAAGGGGAATCCCTGATGAATGATGGGTATATGACTTCAAACTTTGCTTATCTTCTGTCATGGTCTGGTTATTTATGCTCACTCTTTATTTTAACAAAAATTCCAGGACGGCGATTGTGCTTTTCCAGTTATTCTTAAAGATGGTGATGGGGCAAAACTCTGACTGGGGTTCTATAATCACATTTCTGGTTCAAGTCGCACTTGGAGCGTATGCCTTGTTCTTTTCCTATATTAGTGATATCGAGTTGCTGCTGTGTTCTTAACACTTTAGCGTATGGTTCTGTCTATTTAGTGTAGGCATTGGTCTGGCGTTTGGTATTGCATCAGTTATTTGGCTCAAGTTCATATTCAATGACACTGTAATAGAGATTACTCTTACAATTGCAGTGAGCTATTTCGCATACTACACTGTACGTCTTTCTGTATACCTTGAATTCCTGTGCCAAGATCTTATCTCTGTAGTAAAACTGAGAGTTTACTGTGTGACAGGCTCAAGAGTGGGCTGGGGCTTCTGGTGTTTTGACAGTGATGACTTTGGGCATGTAAATTCCAGTGATCTCGTTATTTTTTCCCTTTCTTTTGTTATCATGTAAGAAGTCTCTTCTCATAAAATAACTGTAACAGGTTTTATGCTGCACTTGCAAGGACAGCCTTTAAAGGTGACAGTCAAAAAAGTTTGCATCACTTCTGGTATTTCCAGAACTTGTGGAATTGGACTTGTTTTTGTGTATTGTAAGTCTATGAAAAAGGTTGATCTGTGTGATATAAGTTTTCCCGGTAACTTGTGCAGGGAAATGGTTGCATATATTGCAAATACTTTGATATTTATCCTCAGGTAAGGGTAAAATTTATAGACTCATCTCATACTTGTGCTATCCCAACCCTAAAATAGAAGCTCATGGGTAGAGAAAAGAGCTATTTTACTGCAGTCTACTCTTTAGCCTGGTGCTACAATATTGACTGTGTTTCTCATTTTATTTTTGCAGTGGTGTTGTCATTGCTGAAGGCATTCTCAACAGCGATAAGATTGCCTACCAAGGTGCCATTTTTTTCCTAGCT